GAATCTTTTAAGTGTGACAAATATGCAAAAAATAAAAAAAACAGGTAGGGGGCAAAAACCTTTTCACACCACTGTAAATATATATATATATATATATTTATTTATATACACACACACATATATAAGATAATTGAATAAATATTAAGAACAACAAAGAAAATGTTCATGATGTACACTGATTAAATAAATCAAAGTTAGTAATACTTATAAAGAAAAACATTGGTGATGTGGCACAAATAAATAAAAGTTTTTAATAAATTATTATTATTTTTTTTACTCTGCAAGTGAATTTAGGCATCACAGCTTTATAATGGACTATGAAAATGGATATTCAATTTTGAGGTTTGCTAAAGAGTCCATTTAACAGTGTTGTTAAATTATTAGTGATTTTAAAGATGAAAGGTGAGCATTAGATGACGGCAAAGCTGTTCTAAATGTAAAAATAAAGGAAATTAGCATGCACAATTGAACTTACAATATTAATCTTAAAAAATTCTAATATCGGCTGATAACCAATATGGTACTGATATACCACGCATCAGTTTATTATTTTGACTTAATATTCATGAAGTGTTCTACCCACACAGATATTCCACTAGAATACCATGATCTTTGGGCTGGAGATTTCCCGCTGAACCCGGACCTTCACCTCCCAGCTGAGAACAGGTTTATAGGTCAGTTTCAGTCCCATTCCATTAAATGGCCATTCATCCTTTTCTTTACGGCAGTTTTTCACATCTGTTCTTATCTGTTCACAGCCACAGATTTCACCCTCAGAACATCAGACTGTCCTGACACGGATTTCCCAATCAGAATAATTGACAGTGAGAGAGGCTGTCTCTGGTTCAGAAAGGACAACAAGTTCAAGATACCCAAAGGTAGCTTTATAATGAGACAAACTTTAAAAAAAACACAATGTAATATTCATAATTATGTTGTTGTGTCTGTATTTTCCGGTAGTTTATGCATGCTTCCAGCTGCTGACCCCATGTATACAGGAATCTCCCAAAAAGTGAGTTGTTTCTCAACAAATTTAATTAATATTTCTGTCC